GAAAGTAATACTGGATGTTAATTGTTTCCCACTTCCATTAATGGCAGTGATCTCTTCTACCTTTAACAATGATTCCTCTGAGTCATACCCTTCTGCCTCTTCAGCCACATGAACCTTCTCTTTGCTGGCCATACACACCTTGGCAAAGTGATTCATTCTTTTACAACTACGACATTGCTGACCAAAAGCTGGACAATCTGTCTGTTTGGCATGCTTCTTTTGCTGACCACAATACTTGCATTTCTACGTTTTGCTTGGATATGGTTTGTTAGGTTTCTTTTGATTTGACATTTTTTCCAGATGTGGAGGCTTCCTGTCTTTTTTGGATTTACGCTTACCCTGAACTAAGTTTAGTTCCTCATTGTTCTGTTTCTCATCCTTTTGAATCAATTTTAGCTGCTTATTCGTTACTTCGCTTAACTTACACATGTCAAGAGCTCTAGCCAAAGACAAGTCTTTCTCCCTAAGCAATCTTACCTTTGTACCCTTATCTTGTATTCCAATAACTAGGCTGTCATGTATCATTTCGTCAGTAAGTGTTCCAAACTGACAGGATGATGCGAGTTTTCTTAATCTATTGACATAGCAATCAACAATTTCCTCAGACGATTGAACACACAAGTTGAAAACATACCTCTCATAGACCACATTTCTCTTTGGTAGGAAGTACGTTTCCAATGCTTTCAGTGCTGAAGTTATCATCAGTTCCTCGGTGCCAAAATTTAGATTCAGAAAAATTTGCAGGCACTCCTTTCCCATAATGGAGCAAAAAGTTGCTAATCGAACAGACTGACCTTTCTGATCATGCCATTGTTGCTTGAAAAATTCCCAGTTGCTCGTGAGATGTTCACCACAAACCATAGCGCTTCGTACTGGAAAATTTGTCTGAAGATTTGAGGTGGTGGAGTCAACTGTGGAGCTGACAGTGGAGGAGCTTGTTCAGTGTCCGACATCGTTTCGTTTTCCACCCATGTGGTCGACACAAGAAAGTCGCTGTACTAACTGTTAACCACGGAATTATCGCTTTGCTTTGCTTCAGTAACTGCTTTGACTGAATATCAACCAGAAGAAGGAATCTTGAGCATTGCAGCTTGCTTGAAGATTAACAAAACACTTCTGACACCATGTTGCGGATGGCACAACAAGACACCATTTGGAAAGCAACTAAACTCGTTTTAACGCCTACTTCATGTAAGACACACGCAATTACAAAACACATGTTTCTCCGAATATGGTAAGACAAGCCACATATGTAACAGCTGTATATGGAAGATCTTTACTTTGGAATGAATTAAGGCCTTGTGAACAGCGATTAAATAATTTCACAGCATTCAGGACCATGATCACTGAAAGACAAAGTCAGTCTTCTAAAGGAGCAAAAGGGTGAAGTTTCACCATTGGTGCCCCAATCTCTGTAGAACACAAAGGATTACAGAATGACTCATTGCGGTCAGAATTTCGCTGTCACTGCTGATAAACTAGATTCATCTTTGGCTGAAAGAAAGTTAGAAAAAGAAAAATAGCATTTTTCTTTTGTCATTAATCATTGTAAAATGGGGTTAACTAGCCTATACGACTCCTATCCTACAGTTCGTAACATTTTAATTATCGGTCTCAACCTTTGTTTGCTTCACGCATATTTCTGAAGGGCACTTCATGCTTATTAGGAGGATTTGTAAGCAGAATGGCCTGTTTAACTATTTTATAGCAAATGTTTTAGAGGTCTTAGGTCTGCATGGTTTCCACTGTTAACTGCATGTCGCTTTGCAGAGTTTGACACTTTCATGCAATTTGTGTTGTGCTGATACCTTGTTTAGACTCATTTCTATTGCAAGATATGTTTTAAGCTCTCTAAATAATTGCTTTCCAGAGACAAAGTTTGAAACATTTTGTTAACATTATGCTTACTTGCATTCCATATTGTGACACTGGGCCTGGTTGATTGATTAGGACTGTTTGCAAGTATCATGAATGTCTTTATCTTCGTCCCGCTTTCCTTTCGAGACTGCCATAGCTTTACTTTAAGAAAGCTATATGTTTGTCTAGAGACGTTACATTTCTTGCATCAATTTGATTGAGTGCATTCAAAGGAGAAACTACTACCAGATGAGATTGCACTGCTTAAAATCTCTTGATTTTGTTGAGGAGCAATGAAGGAAGAAGATGACTGACTTTCTATATCCAGTTGGTAAGATGGCGACAGCATCACTACCACGGTAAATAGCCTCAAGACAGCCTTGCATAGCCTTCAAATTAATGTTGAAATAAATGCTATTCGAAATTGGAGCCTGAAGGCTACTGTAAAACATCGAAGGTACGACAGTCGCAGCGCAATGCTTTGAATTTGACAAAGCTCAACGTGACAAATTATCTGATTAGAGAGGACCCCTTCCTGATGTTCTCAATTGAGAAAGAAGCATGTGACCAAACCCAACCAGGGTGTCTCCTCTCTCGCTCCAGGGGGTGGGAAGATGAGAGTTCCTGGGAACGAGGCAGACAAACCTAAATAATGAACAAGGATAAAAAGCCTAAAAATAGACATAGGTTGGTTATATGCACCTGGGCTAAAATATAATTCCATCTTTTCTATAATGATTCAATGTGTGGTGCTTGCTATTCAACACAATAATATACTTTACTAAACAACATAGAAATAACATATTCCCATTTTCACTCATTACCTTTTTTACATGTGCTCCTGCCTGCTGCCGAAAGGAAGGAGTTTGGTTATTCATATTTGGAGCTACAAATAATTGAAGAAGCTGGAGGTCAATCTCTGTTACTGATTCGGTTGTTCGTGAAGAATCACAGAGTAGTCCCAGAGCATCAAGACGAATCTGGTGAAGCAAGTTGTTCCACAAAAGTTAATCCCAACTTCAAAACAGTGATTTGATTACAAAGAAGGGTTGCATATGAATTTTCTGAGCTTTAGATAGATAAGGTGAAAAACAGCCATTTCAGAATCGGGGTTCACAGCCACATCAAATTTTTTGACAATTTAAAGTGGCTCTGAACCCCATGTACAATTTTTCTTATCAAAATTTGATAATAATAAAAAGGTTCTTTGTTAGGTTGCCGTTTTCCAAAATTTGGCAATGTTAGAGAAGGCGATCTAATCATGGCAAAAGCAGGTATATTCATGGTATCCTTGCCACACAACTTGTGTCCATTACTGTCTGCCCAAGGCACAGATGCACACTTGAAAAATTCTTGAGAGTGTTAAAGTCATGCCAACACCCTGGCCATACTGAGAAAGTTGCCACTTTTGCGGGCAGAGAGGTCATAAACTTCCAAATGGCCGACAAAATGAGTATTTTGTTTGGTGAAACTATTACTGACATCAGATCATGCAACTGTATTATCTTTTACTGGCTTTGGTGACTTTTTTTCCTCAATTGTGAGTTTTTTTCTGCAGTAAGATTATATATAATTATATTTTGTCCTTCCTTTTTGCACTGCTTGTTTCACACGATGATGCATTTCTAAAACCGAATGCCTATGTAAGCAGTCTCTGTTTCTTGATGCCAAATAATAATAAAGACATTTATTTATCATGGATTGTGTAATCTTGTCCCTGGGGACAAGGGCAGGGCATTGGTACATGTATCGCATTGTCTTCATTTGTGTTCTTTCTAGTTACATGGCTGCTTTTCTGCCCTCTAAATTATGTTGGATACTCAAAACCATGCTGATCTTAATCCAGAGCTACCTCCTCTGGCTTCAACAGAGCATTCACATGAATCTTCTGATATGGCATTGTTGTCTGCTCTTTTTATAGATTACCTTGATAAGAAGTTGGGAGGCGTGGTGGCCTCAAGATCAAGTGGTCCGGGTTCAAGCCCTGGCCGGGGACACTGTCTTGTGTTCTTGGGCAAGACACTTAACTCTCACAGTGCCTCTCTCCGCTCAGGAATATATATGGGTACCAGCGAATTGTTGGGGAAACCTAACAAATTTCAGGGGTAGTGACCTGCAATGGACTAACATTCCATCCAGGGGGAGTAGAAATACTCCTAGCCACTTTATCCTACAGAAACCAGGATGAGCTCTGGCAGCTATAAGCCAGTCGGCTCAAAGGCTTCACACTTACTTTGATAAGAAGTTGATCACTTTCAGACACAATACTGAAGAAGATTTCTTAATCAGTACCAATTCTATTGCAAAAAAGCTCAGAGAAGACTCCAAAATATCCTTCAAATTTGAAGAGAACAAAAAAAAAGGTTTACTTCAATTCAGACCTCGTGGAAGTTCGCTTGGCTTCCACCATTCTTGGGGAAAGAAAATTTGAAGTAATTTAAAGGTGGAACAAACAGAGGCTGACGCTAAAAAAAGCGGGTTAGAGGACGAGAAACGCACTTGACACACAGAGCAAAAGAAAAGATCATTATCAACTAAAAGTGAAGTCTACAGTCAAGCAGAGTCAGCTATCTGTCACCACTACTCCATTTGCTTGCCAACGTCAATTTAACTTTAAGTCCAATTCTTGTTCCTTCACACCTAGTAGCAAGGCAAAGCCCAGCGATATTTGGCTCATGTGTGATCAGCAAGGTCATTGGAGATCCGAGTGCCTGGGTCATTAACAACTCAGGCCCTCAAGTTATGGTCAGTCAAGTTTTGGCTTCTCTTCTAACATTGGACGTAAATAAGAATCTAGCCACGAGCTTGTCATACAAGTTAAGTATTTAATGTACTTATCATATTTAGTAGTTAGGCATCTTTCCAATTTAGAATTTTTTAGAGAAAGAGACTAGTTTATTACTCAATTTCGATTACGATTACAACTTGCTTAAATACAAACAGAATTCTGAATTGCCAGTCCTTAAAGGCAGACTTCACTATTGGTACACTATTGACTTGGTGCCAATTACTTTGTTACTGATACTATAAAATTTAAAAATAGATGAGTAACCAGGATAAGACATTTAGAAAAATAGAAAAACAATCTCTGGTTAAAAATTTTGTTTAAAATGAGCTTTCGACTACCAGTCTGTAGTCTTTAACAAGTAATAGATAGAAAGCACGAACGTTAAAATATATACTAAGGAAAGTGTGAAAAAACAAAATTATAATAAAAACAATAGAAATGCTTGTGTGTGNAGTCTTTAACAAGTAATAGATAGAAAGCACGAACGTTAAAATATATACTAAGGAAAGTGTGAAAAAACAAAATTATAATAAAAACAATAGAAATGCTTGTGTGTGAGTAAAAAATGCTAATGAGTTTTGTTGTTATGGATAGATCTGATTATAACGAGAAAATGGAAGCCTTACTCAGTGATCATTTGACTTACCAGCTCGTCCAGAAATCTCCGTTTGTCAAAATTGAAAGAGAACTTAACCACATGTTACTAGATCTCAAGAAGAAGGATAAGATTGACGAGCCAACTCATCGTAAACTTCGATCCACGGACACTGTTCCACCCGCCATACGAGGTTCTATTGAACATCACAAACCAGGTTACCCTCTTTGGCCCATTGTCTTTTGTATTGGTTCTGCTCTCTATAACACATTCAAATTTCTCACCGACATCCTGGCACCTATCCAGAACTGTAACGGCCACTCTATCTCCAACTCAAGTGAATTTGTTGACTAAGTCACCAATCTAGAAATTTCCGATGACGAAGCCATGGTTTCTTTTGATGTCGTCTCACTCTTTACTGCCGTCCCAGTTAAGAAAGCTTGTGAATGCATCAGAAAAAAACTCAATGAAGATACAACCCTACATCTAAGAACCAGCCTCACTACAGATGATATTGTTTCTCTTCTGGAGTTTACTCTCTCAAACAATTATTTCGTTTACAATGACTCCATCTACAAACAGATTCATGGTTGCACAATGGGCAGCCCTGTTAGCGCTGTTGTTGCAAATCTCTGCATGAAGATAATCGAGGAAACAGCCATCACTGCCTCTTCAACACCTCCAAAAATCTGGAAGCGCTACATCAACGATAGTTTTGTTATTATAAAGAAACATTCTGTCGCATCCTTTCATGACACTCTTAACTCAATTGACCCAGAGATAGCTTTTACCATCGAACCTGAGAATAATGGACAGATACCCNCTTAAACTAGCCTCAAAAACATTAGACCAAATACAGTTCGAGAAAGAGGCGTGCCTTATTAAATCTAAGAATAGTGCATTTTTATATTTTTAAAACACTCTTTTTTACACTTAATTTTAATAGAAATGTAAATTTTAAGTCATTTTAAATTATCTTTTAGTAGCTTTTGAATCCTAAGGATGTACTTTTAATAATTTTAGATTTTAGTTTCTAGGTATATATTTTATGGCAGGTCCACACCAGCCCTCTGGGTTGCCAGACGCAGACCTGCCTCATCAAAAATATATGTATGTATGTATGTTGGCTCACCTGATCATCCAAATGGGACAGGGCTTTCCTCATAAGCTCGACAGGTACTACACCACACCAGTAAGATGTCGCTTTTGGGGCAACCATTCCATAACTCTTTTTATAAAAAGTCATAACTCCTGAGCACCGGGCTGTCTTTAGACAGGTAATAAGGATTGCAAGGTCGCTTGGTTTTTGCTCTAAGATACA